GGTCATATATAGTTGAAAGACCAATGTTAGAACTAGATCAGAAAATGTTATTAGGTTCTTGCCAGGGGTGCAACCTATGGGATGGAATGTCAACAATGCAATTCAATGTTGGAAATTGTTTATAATGGACGATATGCTACAAGATGTTGTGAAATACATTACTAATGAAATTAAAGTAAAAGGTTCTATATGCACCAATAATAATACTCAAAGATACACTTATCATGACATGTCACTAATTGAACTAAAAGCCTTCATAGCAAGACTTTATAATTCTAATTGTCAGAATCCAAAGGATTAATGGAGAAGTGACAGATGTGGCCTTGAGATTTTTAAAACAATGACACTCAAGAGATTTGGTTTCCCTCAAAATTGCCTGCATTTTGATGACAAAAAGACTCACCAAAAGAAAAAAATCTGGCAATTTAGCTGCTGTTCATTCATTTTTTGAAAGCTTTGCTTTGAACTGTCAAGCAATTTATATACCATCTAAATACATGACCACAGACGAACAATTTGCATCATTTTGTGGCTATGATAGCTTTCAGCAATATATGCCAAATAAATGTTCAATTATGGTATAAAAATATATATGACCTGGTAGATCCAAAGACACTTTACACCCTGAATTTAGAAATGTATCCTGAAACTCAGCCACCAGGTCTTTATTTGTGCAGTAATAAACTGTATGACATTGTGAACAGACTTGTTGCACCTATTTCAAAAAGTAATTGAAATGTCACTTTCAACAATTGGTTCACTAGGTACTCACTAATATTTCATTTGCTAAAAGAACACCAGTTGACTGGCACAGAAACTATTCACAAGAACAAAGTGGAGATTCCTGAAAAATTTTGAAAGTTCACAATAGAGAAATGTATAGTACAGTCTTTGGATTTCACAAAGACATAACACTGGCCTTATATATGGCGAATGAAAACAAAACAGTATTAATACTGTCAAGTTACACTATGATGATAAGATTGATAGTGAAGCCAGGAGTGGTGGTGCACATCTATAATTCCAGCATTCCAGAGGCTCAGGCAGGAAGATTCTGTGAGTTTAAAGTCAGCTTGAGCTACATAATGAGTTCAAATCTAGAATGGATAACATAGTGAGATCTTGTCTAAAACAAACAAAAAAAAGATTGATAGTGAATCATCAACCCAAATGAAGCCAGGAATGGTCATGTTTTACAACAACAAAAAAGACAGAGTAGACATTGTTGATGAGTTATGCAGCAAAGCGTTGGCCAATGGTTGTGTTTTACTTGATCCTAAATGTGTCAGGCATAAATAGTTTCATAGTTTACAGAGAAAAAAACAAGCACAAAATATTGTGGAAAACTTTTCTTAAGAGGACTGGGACTGGAATTAATAAATGATCAATTACAACAGAGGAAGAACAATATGTATCTGCCCAAAGAACACCACAAAAGAATTCTGGAGCAAACTAGTGAATAGACGGTGAAACATCACAAGAGCCTCCTAAGAAAACAGGAATACCACCAAGATGTCAAGTATGTACTATCAAAAAAGACAGGAAAACAAAACACATGTGCTATCAGTGTTAACTGATATTTGTGTATGGAACATACTATTTTCATGTGTGACAACTGCCTTAGGTGTGATAATTGAAAATTATTTTTGCGGTGGAGTTTTATTTGTATTTTCATTGTAGTTCATATAGGAATTTAGTTCTGTTGTTATTTTTTAGATTTAGTAAGCAAACAGTTGATGTAGAAAATGTTGATGTTTATTCTAAACACTCGGTACATATTTGACATTTTATTTTCCAGATAAGCACATGCTATATATAATAGGAACCTCCTGACAAAACGGGAAGACAAGAGAGGTGACAAGGATGACCTGCCAAAAAAGACAGGAAAAGAAAACACGTGCGCTGTCAGTGTAAGCGATACTTGTGTATGGAACATGCTGTTTTCATGTGTGAAGACTGCCTTAGGTGTGATAATTCAAGTAAAGATTATTTCCGTGGTAAAAATTTATTAGTATTTTCATTGTAGTTAATATAGGAATTTATTTCTGTTGTCTTTTTTTAGATTTCGTAAGCAAGTAAACAGCTGATGTTAAAAATGTTGGTGTTTATTCTAAACACTCATTATATATTAAAAATTATTTTATTGATATTTATTTTCCTTTTAGGTACATATTGTATAGTATAATAAAACTCATAAAATTAAAATAAATAATTCATCAATAGAAATACTCCTAAAAAGTAAATGTGGGCATTATACACCCATTGTAGTTCTCCTTTTAAAAATTTTATTATGACACCCTGGGGGCTTCAAGAAAATAGATGGAGGTGGGTGTGGTAGCACATGCCTGTAATTCTGACACTCTGGGAGGCTGAGGCAAGAAGATCACCAAATCCAAGCCCACCTTGAACAACTGAATGATACCTGTCTCAAAATAAAAATTAAAAGGGCTGAGGACGTACTTCAGTGTGAAGACCCAGTACAACCAAAAAAAGCAAAAAAAAAGTAAATAGATGGAGAAAAGATGTACCATGCTAACATTAATCAAAAAAAGTGAAAGTAACTATATGAATCTCAAAGTATACTTCAGAGCAAGGAAAGTTATCAGGGATTAATACAGGCATTACATAATGATAAATGGGTCAATTCTCTAGGAAGACATAACAATCCTTAATGCGTAGATACCTACACGTATACCTGACATAGTCAAATACACATGAAGAAAAAATGGAGAGAACTGCAAGGAGAAGCAGATGGATATGCTATTATAATTGGCACCTTCAACATATCTCTATTAGAAATGAACAGATCCTCTGGGCAGATCATCAGTAAAAATAAAATTTAGCTCTATAATACCACTATTCAACTAGATATAATTGATATAAAAATTACATCATTTCACTATATATTTATATAATTATATATTATATTATATATAACATATATATTGATATAAAAATTTAAAAGAATACAAATTATATATGACTTCACAACATAATAGAATTAAACTAGAAGTCATTAACAAAAAGACAGGTAGAAAAATGATAAAATACTTGGAGATTAAACAACAATCTTCTACATAAGACACAATCTAAGAAGAAATAGTAAGAGAAATTTCACGGCACTCTGGGAGGCTAAGGGATGAGGACTGCGAGTTTGGACCCAGTCTAGGCAATTTAACAAGTTAGCAAGACGTTGCCTGAAAAAATAAAATGGCTGGTGTGTGTGTGTGTGGGGGGGTGATTCAGTGCAAAGGCCATAGATTAAATCCTCTGAAAAATATATAAATAAAACAAGATTTTAAAATATTGTGGCAGATAAAATTGTAATATTGAATAAGTATACTAGAAAAGAGAAAGGTCTGATATCAAGAATCTAAATTTCAACCACAGGAAACTAGAAAAAGAAGATCAAGTTAAATGTAAAATAAGAAGAAAAGAATGAATAAAATTAAAAATTATAGAAAAGTAGAAGGATAGAAGGGTAAAATACAAAAATTAATCGCTGTCTTTATATACCAGCAATAAACAAGCAGAATTTGAAATTAAAAACATTATACTATCTACATTAAATCCCCCCAAAATGAAGTATGAAGTATAAGTGTGTACAAGATGTGTATAAGGAAAAGTACAAAAATTTGATGAAAGAAATCAAGAATGAAATAAGTAGAGAAGTATTCCATATTCATGGATAGGAAGACTTCATATTGTCAAGATGTCAGTTCTTTCCAATTTGACCTGGAGAGGAAATGAAATCCCATCAACAAAAATTAACTCAATGGGTTAAAGACCTATAAATGTAAGATCTCAAACTGTAAAATTCCTAGAAGAAAATATAGGGGGAAAGTTTTATGACACTGATTTTAGCAGTGATTTTATGGATATGACACCAAATGCACAGGCAACAAAAGCAAAAATGGAAAACTAGGATTGCATTAAAGTAAAAATCTTCTGCACTGCCAAGGAAACAATCAACAGAATGAAAAGGCAACCTAAGGAATGGCAGAGAATATCTGAAACCCATATGTCAGATAAGAGGTTAATTTGAGAAATATAGAAGAAATTCCTGAAACTCAATAGCAAAAAAACACCTGCTAGCCCAATTTTAAAAAGGACAAAATTGAATAGATGTTTGGTTTTTTTTTTTAGTTTTTTGGGTTTTTTTTTTTTTTTTGGTACTGAGGATTGAACTTGGGACCTTGCACTTGCAATGAATGGACATTTTTGCAAAGAAAACAACAAATAGACAATATTATATGAAAAGATGCTCACTATCATCAGTTATCAAAGAGATGCAAATCAAAATCACTACCTGTTAGGTTGGCTATTATAAACTAATAAGCAATATTCCCCACAGCAAATGTTGGCAAACATGAAATTACAAATCCTGTACACAGTTGGAAGAAGTGCAAAATGGTGTAATCACTGGTAAATAGCATGAAGATTCTTCAAAAACAAATAAGTAAGCAAGTAAGTACCACAGTGATGCAGCAATTCCACTTCTGGGTATTTCTCAAAAAAAATCTGCAGTCAGGATCTTGAAGAGATATTAACATCCCAATGTTCACTGTAGCACTATACACAACAGTCAAAATGCAGAATCAACTTATATGTCCATTGATGGATGAATACATTTTTAAAATGTGGTTTATACATATAATGGAATATTACTCAGCCTTTAAAAAGAAGAAAATTCTGACATATGCTACAACATAGAGGAACCTTAAAGTAAAATAAGCCAGTCACAGTAGGCCAAATACTGCATGATTCTTATATGAGGTATCTAAAATAGTCAAACTCATAGAATTATAGAACAGACTATAGTGGCCAGGGTGTGAGGAATTGCCAACCACTGGGCATGAAGTCTGTTATGTAAGCTGCAAAAGTTCAACAATGTCTCTATAGTTTGTATTATTGTATTGTACACTTAAAATCTGTTAAGATCTCATATTATGTATTCTTATCACAATAAACTAATTATTTTTTAAAAAGATGGCACATACCTGCAATGCAAACACTCAGGATGCTGAGGCAGGAGGACTGTGAAGTTCCAGGCCAGCCCGGGCTGCACAACAGGATCCTAACTCAAAAAACAATAACAACAAAGGAGATACAGATAGCAAATAGGCATATAAAAAGATGTTCCACAATATAAGTCACTAGAGAAATGCAAATTAAAATGATACCACTATAAACCTATTAAATAGCCAAAAGCCAGAACACCGACAACACCAAATCTTTTTTTTTAAATTCTTTTATTGGTACATTTTAAGTATACAACACAATCACGTTTCTCATTGGGAACTTGTACCTTTACATGATGCATCTTGGTTCTTATTTTTTCCCCATTCCTAGCCCTCCCTTCACCTCTTCCACCTTTCCCTATTTACAAAGACTTTATTTCCATTTTTTCCATTTCTCAGCATTTTTCCTTTCCCTTCTTTCCTTTCCCCTGCCCCTCCCACTACCCCTACCCCTTTGGACCTTTTCTTCCTATTTTACATTATCGATTATTCATCCTAATCATTGGTACATTTTAGGTATACAATATAATGACATTCATCATTGGAAATTTGCACCTTTACATAATCTCTCGGTTCTTATTTTTCACCCTTGCCCAGCCCTCCCTTCAACCCTTCCATTCCTCCCTATTTACAAAGATTTTGTTTCTATTTTTCCATTTTCTCATATTAATTCCATTCCCTTCTATCCTTTCCCCTAGCCCTCCCACTTCCTTCCCCTTTGCCCCTTTTCTTCCTATTTCACATTACCTATTATACATTTAGTCCTTATTTACACTTTCAGTTTCTCACACCAGAGAAACTATTTGGTATTTATTCATGTGTGTCCTATTTATTTCACTTAAGAGTATCGCCTCAATGTGCATCCATTTAGCTATAAATGTCTCTAATTTCTCATTTTTTATGGCTGAGTAGCACTCCATTTTATAAAAAACCCACATTTTCTTTATCCAGTCTCCAGTTGATGGGCATTTGGGCTGTTTCCAAGTTTTAGCTATCACAAACTGTGCTGCTATGAACATGGGTGCACATATATCACTGGACAACACCAAATCTTGACAAGGATGTGGAACAACAAAAACTCTCATTTACTGCTGATAAGAATGCAAATGGTGTCACCACTTTGGAAGACAATTTAGCAGTTTCTTTCAAAACAAATCATACTTTTACCATTTGATCTAGCAGTCATGCTCTTTGGTATGTACCCAAAGGAGGTGAAACACAGAAACATCCACACAGATGTTTATGGCAGGTTTATTCCTAACTGCCCAAACATGGAAACAATGAAGATGTCCTTCAGTAGGTGAATGGCAAAACAAACAAACAAAAATCCAAACTTTGGAGACATGAAGACATGGAAAAAACAAATACATATTGTTAAGTAAAAGAAATCTGTGTGTGTGGGGGGGGGGTACTGGGGATTGAGCCCAAAGCCTTTGGACTGAGCTACCTCCCCAGCTTTTTCAAGAAATTTTGATTTAGAGACAGGCTCTTGCTAAGTTGCCCAGGCTAGGCTCAAACTTGTGATCCTCCTGCTTCCGACTCCCAAATTGAGAAATCAGTCTTAAGCAGCTAACATACTGTATGATTCGAGCTCTATGACATTTTGAAAAGGGCAAAACTATGGAGACAATAAGATCAGTGACCGCCGGGATTGTGGAGAAGAGGGCAGTGAGATGACTCTGCAGGGCACTGTGAGGGGATCCACGTCTCTTCATCTGTGTAGACCCAGAGAGCACTCATCAAGAGGAGCCTTAATGCAAACTACAGACTTTGGATGGCACTGATGTCAATGAAGGCTGATTAACCAACAAAACACCAATCTGGTGGGGAGTGTGGATAATGGGAGAGGCTGGGTAGGTGATACATAGGAAACTTCGGTACCATCTGCTCAATTTTGTTAGAAAACTAAAAAAATAAAGTCTACTAAAAAAAGGTTTGTAGGCTGGGGATTTAGCTCAATGGTTCCACTGCCTGCCTCACAAGTACAAGGACCTGAGTTCGATCCCTGGTACAAAAAAAAAAAAATGTGTGCTCTGTCACAGACCATGGATAACAGTTAAGAGAGACTGCAGCCTTTCTGGGTAGAAACCTTGACTCTTCTGTCTCATCTCTCTGATAGAGGGACCAGACTGAGGAGTGGGCTTTGGGAGGTTGGGAAGGAAGACTTGACCCGACCTGAGGGGAACAGTGGCCAGACTGGGTTAAGTGGGGGAGAAGTGATGCCATGAACTGTGATGGAGTGTGGAAGAGGGTGGAGAGACAGGTGGGCTCAGGGCCAGGGCCACAGCTGAAAATGTCACATGTAGGGTCAGGCAAAGGAGAGTGCTGAAGTGGGGCAGCATCCCAGGGAGCAGCCTCCATTAAGGGAAGGTGGCCAGCAAAATAGACAAGAGTCGGGGGCCAAGGAGGACCAGGGTAGCAGCACTTCAGGAGCCAAAGAGATCGTTGCATGCTCAGAGACGTTAGGCAGGATGAGAATTGGGAAGCAGAAGCGGCAGCAAGACCCTGTGATAATCAGACAACCTGATGGCATGGAATGATGAGAAAGGAAAGTGGAGAGATCCGATGTGAAGACACATTTCTATAAACACAGGTTCCTACGAGCTCAGCAGCTAAGGAGGCAAATATTCCAGGTGAAGGATGGGATAGTGTAGGTCTAGAGAGGCTATTTGGAACTCCAGGCACGGAGAAAAATAAATTAATGAAAACAGCAAATTTTAAAATACAGAAGAGAGATAAAAATCAGAAGAGCTAGGTGTGACAGTGCAACCTGTAATTCCAGCGCTTGGTGGGTGGGGGGGAGGCAGGAAGACTGTGACTTCGAGGCCAGCCTGAGCTCCACTGTGAGACCCTATGTAAAAAAAACAAAAACAAACAATCAGGAGAAAATGGAAAAAAAAGAAAAATACGATCTAGACAGGAGAAGTGATACCCATTCCCCTGAAAAATGAAGGACAGAGGTGAGGCTGGGCACAGAAAAGATGGAACAATAATGTACTGTGATTTCCTCAAAAATGATATCATTTGGTGATGCAATTTAAAGACTGCATTAGTTCAGCTTCTTAGTGGATTTGATGGTTTTGAAAATGAAAGTTTCAAAGTTCCAACATCCTTCTCACTCTAAAAGCTATGTTTTCAATCTCTGTTTTTGGCTCTACCCTTTTGAGTTCACAAGTCACGACTCCTTAACTCTTAGCTGCCCTGGAATAACCAGGAACTACTGTCCATATCTAGTCCTCTTCCTGGCTCCAAAGAACAATTCCACTGCCCATCTTGACAGACAGCAAGTCAAGACAGCCCTGCACCCTCTTGCCCTCCCTCTCTTCTTTTGTTTTCTTCACCTATGAACATGGCATCTGTGAACCTCTGGAGGGCACTGTTATAGGTTTATTGTTAGATCATTTTTAAGAGCCATAAACCATTCTTACAACATATGCTAGCTATATTAAGCAGAAACCAACAGGAATATTGTATAAAGCACCTTCCAGACTTACAAGCCATCAGGTAGACTATGAACTCCCAGGGAGACCATGGCTACTGCAGTTGGCACTCTTAAGACCAACACTGTCCAAACACCTAGAACCTACTAGGTACTGAGTATTTGTAGAAAGACTGTTCGAGGTAACACTCTTATCAAAACCTGCAGATATAATGATCATTTAAATATATGCTGTAATCCATGCTCATCAAGTCTCCAAAAACAAATATTTTCAAGTACTTTTTTTTCTGTGAATTGTTTCATCCTCTTCTTTAAATTTAAATGTACAATTGAAATTCCCACACTTAATTTTCTGTACTACTTAGAGAGCAGGAGTATTTTTTTCTCTTTCCTTCACATACTTCTGGGTCCCCATCATTTTCAAAACAAGCCTTGCCCAAGAATATTGAGCAGCTTGTCTCAAGACTTGCTTTGCATAGGCCATCTGAGCTGTATACACACACACACACACACACACACACACACACACACACACGCACGCACACGCTCTCTCTCTTAATAAAAATGATGAAAGAAAACATAGTTTTTGAGAAACTTGTCATTTAAGAGGAAAAAGAAGTACACCAATATGAAAGAATGGATTGGGAGTTCCAAACCTCTTGGATGGATATTCTACCAGCATCTCAGAGCCAACAGTTGGGCTTACACTCACACTGAGCACATATGTTTCCCCCTAGACCTGCTCCTCCTGGGTCCCCTTTCAAAATATCACAACAACCTTATTGCTAAGCTTTCTGGATGCCCTTGTTAACTTACTTTTCTTCTGCTCTTTAATTATTCATCACAAAGTCCTTCTCTTCGTAATATCTGAGTATCTCTATCAATTTCATAACATCTCTCATCCTGGTGATGCTGTTAGCTCAGGCAAATGTTACCTCCTGCCTGGACACCCAATTTTCCAAAATCTAACCAATTTCTCAACACCCAACCTCACTGGCCTCCGATGCACCTCCCATACTAAGGCCAAACTGATGCCTCTAAAATGCAGACCTAACCAAGTGAATGCTTAAAACCTTATGGGGCCACTTGCCTGCAAGATGAAGTTCAAACTCCTCTGCTGGGCATCTAACAGCCCTTCCCAGCCTGGCCCTGCCTCTGTCCTTCACTGCATACATCCTTCATGCTCCTCCTACAAGGTTCTCAGATGTGCCATGCTCTTCCTGGCTTAGGTTTTTCCTCCCTGTGTAGAGCCCTTTTACCTTCAGAACTCAGTACCAATGACTTTTCTCTTCTGAGAAGCCTTCCTTGACTTCAACCCCCTCCATCAGGCTGGGTGAAGGATGTGCCCTGTCCTCCCACAGCACCTGCCTTGTTGTCCCATCATGCTAGCTGAAATGGTCTGCTTATGGCCCTGTCTCCACAGCAGACACCAAGCTGTAAGCTCTCCAAAGGCATAAACTATCTGCTAGTCACCAGTTTATCTCCTGGCCCGATCCCAATGCCCATTATGTAGAATAGGGAAGATGTCATGTTCATCTTTGATACCCTGGACTTATCATAATGTTAAAGCACAGCAGGTACACTTGTGTAGTAACAAATAAATGGAATATTCTACTG